CTCTGGTGCGCCCGCAACTGGAGTATTGTGTTCAGTTTTGGGCCCCTGCAAACCGGCCACCAACCTTGTGGCCCTACGCTGCACTGACTCCAACCTGGCTATATCCTTTCTGTAATGAGGGGCCCAAAACTGAACACAATACTCCAGTTGCGGGCGCACTAGAGTCGTGTAGAGTGGTAGTAATACCTCTCTTGATCTAGAAGCCACACTTCTGGCTATGCAACCAAGGGTGGCGTTCGCCCTCTTGACCACTGCATCACGCTGCTGACTCATGTTTAGCCTGCAGTCAACCAGTACCCCGAGGTCCCTTTCGCAAGTGCTGATGTCCAGCCACTTGTCACCTAACCTGTACTTATGACACCTATTCCTATGCCCCAAGTGCAAGACCTTGCACTTATCCACATTGAAAGCCATCCTGTTGTCTCCTGCCCACTTCCATCGTCTGTCCAGATCCTTTTGGATCTGGAGTACCTGCTCCTCAGTTGTGGCCACTGCTCCAGTTTTAGTGTCGTCTGCGAATTTGATCAGCAGACTGTTCACCCCTTCCATGTCGTTAATGAAAAGATTAAACAGGATCGGCCCCAGGACCGAGCCCTGGGGGACCCCGATTGTCACTGGCCGCCATCCCGATGATTCCCCGTTAATGGTTACCTTCTGCTTTCGGTCAGTCAACCATGCCCTGATCCACCGGACAGCACTTTTGTGTATCCCAAAACTCCTCAGCTTCTCCACCAGGATATCATGGGGCACTTTGTTAGAGGCCTTGCTGAAATCCAGGTATACCACATCCACTGCATCCCCTCCATCTAGCCATTGCAAAACCTTGTTGTAGAATTCCACAAGGTTTGTCTGGCAGGACCTGTTTTTGCAGAAGCCATGTTGTGTGGCTGTCAGCCTCCCTTCCCTATCTAGCATCACTAGATCTCTCTCTATTATGAGACCTTCCATTGTTTTTCCTACAATGAATGTAAGGCTAACCGGTCTATAATTCCCCATGTCCTTTCTACTACGCTTTTTGAAAATTGGGACCACTGATGCCACCCTCCAGTCCTCTGGAACTTCACCCATTCTCCATGAGGTCTCAAAAATGGAGGCCAGCGGGCGTGAGAGAACCCCTGCCAACTCTCTAAGTACTCTCGGGTGTAACCCGTCAGGGCCTGGTGTCTTTGTAATGTCCAATGCCCTGAGGAGCCCCTCGACTTCAAGGGGGGGTGACTCTAATCTGTGCCCCTAAGTCCCCAGCCTCATCTAATCTCCTATGCGGATATCCCCTGTCCTGCTTTGGGGAGAACACAGAGGCAAAATAGTCATTTAGCAAATGTGCCTGTTCCCTCATATCAGGCACTGGATCTCATTCCTCCTTATTTAGTGGTCCCACCACTTGTCTCCCCTTCCTCTTGCTATTTACATTGTGAAAGAAGCCCGTTTTATTGCTCTTCATATTCTTGGCAAGACTCAGCTCGTAATCAGCCTTAGCCTTGTGAAGAATCCTTCAGCAACGGGCCTCCTCCTCCCGGTATACCCTTTTGTCTATTTGCCCCAGTACCCATTTCCTATGGAGGTTTCTCTTTTGTCTAATCCCTCTAACCACCTCCTTTCGCATCCATGGCGGCACTCTCCTCCGCCTGCCCACCTTACTGACTAGAGGTATCGTCAAGGCTTGCGCCTCCAAAACCTCCCTTTTGAATGCTATCCATCCCTCCTCATCTCGCTTACCTTCCAGTAACCTGTCCCAGGAGACTTTCCCCAGTCTGGCCTTCGGTTGGCCAGAATTGGCCCTCTCGAAGTCCCAGCTTCTAGCGCTCGACCTGCTGCCCATCCGCAGTCCCCTGATCTCAAAGCAAAGGATGGAGTGATCACTTGCATCCAGAGCTCCCCTAATCTGTACTTCATCTATCAGCTGCTCCCTATTGGTCAAGACCAAGTCAAGGATGTTTCCCCCCCCCCCAT